TTGGGGGGGGGAATTAAATTGTGTTAAATTGTGTTATTATTATTTTCCGGAATATTCCCAAGTTCCTGCGCACGCGCATTCAAGAGTTGTGAGGCGCGCCTTTATGCGTTCAACGCGCCATCTTTCAGAAACGCCGATTCTAGACAGGAAGTTGTTGCTCCTCCGCTCCTTCGTGACGTCATCCGCCCGATGTAAAAGGATAGGGGGGGAGGGGTGTCAACCAAAGGCTTGGGGGAAAAAATAGGTTGGTAGCTAGATATGGTGACTTTTTAAAAAAAGTAGCAGTCTACCTTGTCGGTAATGGTTTAGTTCCACTACCAACCACTAGGTGGCGCGTTACTTTTTTTTAAAAGTCACGGAGTCAGCGGAGGAGCAATTTCCGGTCTAGAATCGGCGTTTCTATACTACTAATATATGTTTGTTTTATTTTCATAACCTTTACACTCTTTCTCTAATTATCAACATAAATCAAAAGAAGCAGTTTTTGAAAACACGTAACAGCAATACAATACTAACGGATATTGCGTTAGAATTTGCGGAAGAGGATGAGACTAAATTCAATTCATCCACCAATTAATGTTGGTTCCACACCGGCTCTCCAGCAGTATGTTCACAAAACAATGTATTAATTTTACAAAAATTTTATATAATCACAATAATGTTACTTGCATTATTGTCCAATAGTAACATTATTGTGATTATATAAAATTTTTGTAAACTTAATACATTGTTTTTAAGTTGTAAATATAATTTTTAAATAAAAAATTGATTGTAATTTTATTATTATAATAGTTGTAAAATTTATTGGGAGAGGGTGGGGGGTGTGAGATATATCATATAATTAAAAAATAAATGTATTCAGTTTACAACTGAATTTGATGAAATATGGATGTTAACACTGGGTGTGAAATTTCTGAAAGCCCTTACTGGGTATCAATTAATAAACAATGGAAGAAGTTTCGTGATGATATAGAGAAAGAAAATAAATTTATTGGTGAAACCTTATATTCGATCGATAGATTTAACATAAAAGTTGGTATTAGTGTGGCGAGAGGTTTTATAACATGTGTGAAATTGATTTTTAAATCTTGGAATGATGTAGAATCGAAATCACATATACTCTCTTTTCTACGTGAAGATTGGGAACAATTGATTAATGTATTTAAAATCATTCGTTTTAAAATGAACTTTTCTGACCAAATTATACCGTTAGCGGATGGAATTCTTAGAGTTACTGCAGACGTTGAGAATTGTGTGTGCATCACATATGAAGATATGGACCCTGAAAATAATTTTTTTATTCCGATTATATTAACCTTGATGGAAGTTCAAGACATTTTATCTAAGGAATTTTTAATTTCATACAAATTAAAAGTATTAGACAATTTGCATTTTAATGATTACATTGATTTTATTATGAACACTAAATTTTCGAAGGATAAGTTAAAATTAATTCGAGAATTTTGCTTGCAAAATTTATCTGAAATAAATTATTACTTAATGGAATATATTGATATGATTTCCTGAGTTTAAACTTACTACTATTAAGAATGTTAACGAATACTTGCGTTAAAAAAATTGTATTTATTTTAATTTAAACAAGTTGAAACAAGTGTTGGTGAGGTGCAATGAACTTTACTTAACTTCGGTGATTTAATAATAAAAACCGCTTAATTTGCATTTTAGATAACAATAACAGCTGACGTGCGAATTGCATCATCCTTCTAGAAACTTCTATTACACATTTCCCCACCCCCATTATTTTCATACATATAATTACATGTTCTAAATAATTTATTTAGTTTGACAGCTATTTCCAAGCTAACAGGTTACGTTTTATTATTATTAATCTACGAAACGAATCATGTCTCGTCTAAGTCAATTGGGTCAGTGCAATTTCCCACCGAAAAAATCAATTTCTGAACTTCAACCAGACACTCCATACCCAATTAAATGCGCGAAACGGCTTAAAAAGTGTTCTTGGACGTCCGTAGTACTTGAACTGAAGGCTGGATTCGTAATTTATTTACCAAGAAGCATCGCTGAAGATATTACCGACGAAGAAATTATCGAACTTAGCAAAATGTCTATAATTTATAAGGGTGCACAAGACATTGGTAAAACACACCCTGTATATTTATTGGATTTTGTCAAGAAGCCTGAAACGTAAAAACTTTCCGATCGATGACCCAGATGTTCATCTGCATGAATATAAATGTAATTGTATTATAAAAGTTATGTATACTTAAAAATTAAATAATAATAAATGAATTTCTTAAACACATCATTTTGTTATGTATTTGTAATTTTTATTTTAAAATGCTTCAATATATTTAAATTGGGTTAATTGGGAAAATTAAATTGTATTATTTAAACCTTTTCCTTCATTTGTTTAAATGTATTTTTTTTCACGTACATAATTTTTGTTAATGAAAATGCATTAAAACAATTTTATAATTTGTATTAGTAGTATAAAAACGCCGATTCTAGATAGGAAGTTGCACCTCCGCACCTCCGTAACGTCATCAATCCAATGTAAAGGGATAGGGAAGGGTACCAACCTACGGCTGAGGTGAAAAAAAATAGGTTGGTGTTGGAAAAGTAACTAGATCTGGTGACTTTTTTAAAAGAGTAACGCGCTACCTAGTGGCTGGTAGTGGAACTAAACCACTACCAACAAGGTAGACTGTTACCTTTTTTTAAAAAAGTAACGCGCCACCTAGTGGCTGGTAGTGGAACTAAACCACTACCAACCAGGTAGACTGTTACTTTTTTAAAAAATCACCAGGTCTAGTTACCAACCCATTTTTTCCCCCAAGCCTTTGGTTGACACCCCTCCCCCCCTAACCTTTTACATTGGGCGGATGACGTCACGGAGGTGCGGAGGTGCGACCACTTCCTGTTTAGAATCGG